CTACCTTTCAACAGTGATTGCACTGAATTTACACCAAACACAAGAAAATACCATGTTGATAAGAAAATTTAAAAAATATTGCCAAAGGCACTTTTTATTGCTTCCATATAAAGCACTACGCTCTCAATATTTTGTGAATATATCTCTTATCTATTGATGCTTTGACCTGAATTATTTTTCAAACGATAGTCTATGAAAATCTTTACAAAATCCGATAAATACAACTCTTCAAAAAGATAACTCAGAAACCATATCTGATCAGTATATATGCGCACTCGAAAAATGTCCACTTTTATCAACACATATTTTAACGCAACAGACTATTTCACTTGTTCGAACTAAACAGCCTTCATCTCATTGTGAGCCATCCTTTTTAAACAGCTGCTTTGTCGAATTTTGTAGAGATTTTCACAGATTACATTTTGAAAAACACTAAGGTCAAAGCATCAAGTAATAATTGATATATTCAGAAAATATGGAGAAGGTAGTATTTTATATAGAAAAAACAAAAAATAAACCTTTGGTAGAGTTTTTTTAATTTTTTTATCAACACAGTAGTTTTGACATATTTAAAGATTTGTTCTCTTCCTAGTAATTGGTTTCTTTAATTTATTTAATATTTTCCACATTTCGGACGATAATATCGTCCTACATCACAAGTTAATGTACAAAACAAAAAGTTTTTCTTTTATATATGCATATACTTCGGTGATTCATTTTGCTCCTTTTTCTGTAATAGTGGCAAGAACAAGACGGTAATAGCCTGATGCGATAGAGGTAAATTTTTTTATCGTCCGTACCACTATTCAAGAAGAAAAAAGGACGAAATGAATCACCAAAGCATATATATATATAAAAGAAAAATTTTCTTTTTTGTATATTGACTTCTGATGGAGAACGATATTATAGTCCGAAACGTTAAAAATACTAAATAAATTAAAGAAACTAATTACTCTGAAGAGAACAAATCTTTAAAAATATCATTAACAACCTTCCTAAATCGTAAACAACACAGTATTTTCTTACATTTGGTGCAAATGGAGCGTAATCACTGTTGAAAGATATCTTAGATCTCGCACTTCAAATACATATGCCCAATGCCTTTCCAATTTCGAATAAGGTAAAGATAAAAGAGAAATACAAATGGGTCGATACTGATAAAACGCACTTTATGAGAATATAATTTTGAGCAATACATCGTTTTCTCTTGATGTTATAAGTTGCTGTGACGAAATCAGAAAAATGATACTGTATTCTTCAATTTAAAGGAACTGGACCTTGCCATACTCATTTTATCATCAATAAAAACGTTAACTGTTGTCATGTTTTTCACACTATGTGTGCAGTCAGTGGTAAACCATGAACACACAGGCGATGTGTTCATTATCGTTTCTTTTTACAACTATCATCAATACTTCACTTTCGATGTTTATATATATGAAAGAAGTCATGCGTTACGGCAGAATGAAAAAATAAAAATAGAACGCTTCATATACCTAGAATCACACAGAATGAAAGATCATGATGGCATGCACGATCTTTGCGTAAAAAAGTACACCGATAACTCCACCAACAGATAAAGACAATACATTGGTTACGAGGCAATACATGAATGAAGTGCATAGTTACTGTAATTCTTGTATTGGAAAAATTACAAAGCAGAAAATTATTTAAATTATAGTTCAAATTTATTACCAGAGAGAGCACCATAAACTATGCAAAGCTCTATTGTTTTTCTTTTATCAAGCTGAAAATAATCGAATTGTACCCCATTATTTCTAACAAAAATGTTCGGCATTCAATTAGTTATGTTGTCCGCTACAATAGTTGATCAAGCTTATGTAAAATTTGAGTCGCTTGGAAAGGTCATCAACTGTTCAATCGCTTTTTTGCTCGAATCCTAGTGATTTATAGGTAATCGACCATTTTGATCCCGAATATTATCATGCTATGAACCGCTAAGCCTTTAGTGTCCGGATTTCTAGAAAATCCGATTTTATAGACAAAACGATTTTGGCGCTAAAATGGTTTTTTATCTGATCAGCTGAAAGAACACATCGCAAAGCTGATAAAACCATATTTGGTTCGCTTTCTGAGGAATTATTGAGAGCACTATAATCTCTAAAAGTTACCATTTATCATGGTTTTTTGACTTCTTTTCGCATTTTCACCGAAAGGATTTGCACTAAAATCATTTATTTTGAGAATTTTACATGAGCATCGATTTCTAAGGAAGTAGATTTGCCTCAACCTCCTCAGTGAATAAGGTCTCGTTTGTACTCACTAGTTATTTGAAAAAGGCAATGATAGAATCTAAGTTAGCTGTAGAAAGATGCCTGTCAAGTCAAAACCTAATATGTATCCATTTTCCAGTCTCACATTGTAAGTTAGGACGCTCTTAGATTAACTTTTTTTTTTCTTTTTTTTTATTAATGAAAAATTCTTTTCAAATGAAAACTTACCATAACAAAAGTCTAATTATGTAGAACCCAAAAATAAGGCAGAAACAAAAAAGTACGAAACTTCGCTTGAACGCTTAATCCTGTCCTAATCTACACCTTCTCTTCTACACCTGGATCTTCTCATGTAAGATTCTATTGCTATCTTTCACAAATGACTAGTAAGTACGAACGAAACATTATTCAATGAAGAGGTCGAGGCAAATCTACTGCCTTACAAATCAAAGTTTATGTAATATTTTCAAAACAAAATGAGTGTGGTGCGAATCCTGCTGGTGAAAATGGGTGTGGATGGGTATGGGTTTGAGTATGTGTGGGAGTCATCTGTGTTCTTTAACGCACACGTACACGGGCACGGGTACAGACACGCACACCCATACCCACATCCTCATCTCTGACGTTCACTGCTTGAGTTTAGCAATAGATAAAAACGGCGATCTTGATGCTTTTGATCAACAGAGGAATGATATAAGACGACATAAAACTGGAGATACAAATGGAAAAATAGTGGCTAGAAGAAATGGAAGAGGAAATTTTCTGATTTAACCCAATTCATCTGCTTCTATCTTCGTCGATCAACATTACTCAGTGTATATAGCACATACTATGAATCATCGTGTGATGAAATAGACGAAAGGTGCAACTGAAGGTATTGTTGTCGTTGGTGGACAAGGCTAAGGCTATAATCGCACACAATTGACAGAATCTAAAGGAGTATTTGTCGATCATTTGGCTAATGCCTATGTGGCTGACTCTAGCAATCAACGAAAAAATACGTTGGTCGAAAGGATGTGAAGAAATGAGTATTATTGCTGGTGGAAATGGAGAAGGATATCAACAAAATCAGTTAAGATATCCTAGAGATTTATCATTCAATCAACAAGGTAATCTCTATGTTGTCGATACTAACAATCATCGAATAGAAAAATTTGACGTGGATTCAAACTGACATTGCTTTTTTAAAGAATGCTTTTTCATGAGTGATTACGCTTTGTGTGAATTTTTTTTCGAAAGAGTCTTGAAAAGAATATTTTAAAAAATCATTTCGGTGTATGTGGCGCTGAATGAGCTAGCGGTAGCTTCAAAAATATATTCACACCTCGAACACTAAAGAACATCTTTTTGTAAGTATGGGTATGCTCTCAAAGTGTGAGCCAGGGAACGAAACATTTGTCCCGTTTGGATCTCTGGTATGGATGTCAGCGGTTGCTGTTGCTGTAAGAAACTTGAGGGTGTGAGTTGAGGACGTCACTGTTATTCTTGTTCTGACCCACACACTTCTTGCTCTTTTCTGATGATACATGGTTCTTTTATGGATGAAACTCAATTGTTCAGAAAAATAATACGAACGTTTCATCTATCTTCATGAGCGTCATCTAGCAGTCCATTTTGGATATTATGAAAGAGAAATCAAGATTCATCCAAAAAGAATGAAGTGTTTTAATTTATAAGTAGAAAAAAAAACAAGATCTCTCTACGAATTATTATTTAATGATTAATACTTACAATGATGGCATGACATCCCTTAACTTCAATTCCACTGAATTGGGACATGACATCATGAGTTCAGCATCATATAAAAGTGTGGGATGCAGGTGGGTGTGGTGATAGGTCTGGCGTATTGAATGTAATGAAGATATATGCCCACACCCACACCCTCATACATCCACACCAGAGCTGGGCAGTTCAATTAAAAAAATCGCCAATTCGATTCAACTCGATTTAATTCATGAACCTAGTTGAATTGTATTGACAAACATTTTCTGAGATTATAAATTGAATTGAATTGAATACAGTTGGAAAAAAATACGAGGTTTTTGAATTGAATCGGATTGAACTGGAAAAAAATACGAGGTGACTGACTTGAATTGAATTAAATTGGAAAAATATTCGAAGATGACTGAATTGAGTTGAATTGAATTGAAAGAATGTTGGGAAATAAATGAATTGAATTGAAAATTGCTTTTGATATCTACTAATTCGATTCAATTCAACTCAAAAAAATTTTGGAATTTTTTTTCGAAAGTCAATTTTCATAGTATAACTAGTGAAAGAAAAGGTCAAGTTATGACTGATTTATTTTGGAATTTCTTTTCAGGATTTTTATCTCGAGGTAGCTGCATCACACTCGCATTTTCATGTTTATTTTTCTCTTGCGCTCGCATCATCTTATTATTTTTGTTTTCTTTTCTTTCTTTGATGTGTGCATATAGTTTATATATCTATTCTATTCGTATAATAATGTATTTTCGTATTTTCTCTCGTCACAGGTACAGTATTCATTTATCATTAATTATCAGTGCAACATAATGCATAGCCTTTGTTTCGACGCACTGAAATTATGCTTATTGTTAATCATATATACCTCGTATAATGTATTCATGTTTTGTTTAATAGTATTCGATTCCACTATGACTTTCTATTATAATCTGCTATACTTGTTGTATAAGTAGTCGAAATCATTCTATAGTAAATAAGCAAATAGTCGTTTTATTTTTAAAAATATAATTCTAAATAAGTTTTAATATTGAAGATTTTATCATGCCATCTGATCTTACAGAAACATCATCAGCATCTTCAATTGTTATATCTGATACAATAAGTTCGAATAATGCAGATTTAGCTACAAAGTATGTTGCAAAAACTGTGCGTGATCAATTTTATACTGATATCAAAATAATTAATGAAAGAAAACTCCTGGAGAGCAACATGCAAAGTTTGCAAAAGTACAATACATGGCATCAAAGGTGTTACATCCAATTATAATCGGCATATTAAGGAATTTCATAAAAGTCAATATGAATTATGGCAACAACAACTACAATTCAACATTTCACCTAGTCAAAAGAAAATTACTGACACATTAACTTTTCAAAAGGTTAAGCTTACAACTACGTCCGGCTCAATGTATTTGTTTAATCATTCTCGTCAGGTTGAATTAGAAAAATCCATTACTGAAGACTTAATTATTGAACTTGGTCTTCCAATTTCACTAGTTGAACCTGCAGCTTTCATCAGATTTGTGACTCATGTTGATCCTCGATTGAATATGATATATCGACGTACATTAACTCGAAGAACATTACCAAATTTATATTCAAAAAAGTTAGACGAATTAAGATCATTTTGCTCAATGGCTACATTTATGTCTCTTACATTGGATTTATGTACAGATCGAAGACAACGAGCATTTTTTGCTTCAACAGGTTCGAATGATAATAAATAAATAAAATTTCAGAAAGTTGAGTCATACATATAATTATGTTTGTAGGACATTCGCTTATTAACTCAGAATTTAAATCATATGTCATGTCTTTTCAACCAATTTTTGGAAGTCATTCTGCTCCTTTATTACTGGAAACCTATGAAACGTGTATTAATTCTTATAATATCCCGTAAAAACTAGTCTGATTAATAACAGACAGTTCTTCAAATAATGTTGCAGCATTTACTGGTTAAGTGATTCCTGGTTTCGAATATTATTTTACAAATGAAGATAATCAATTAAATTCCTCTTGGAATAGTGATGATGAAGGAATTGAATCGAATGATATTACAAGTGAAAATAACATTTCAATTGAAACATAAGATATTCTAAAACAATTTTTTGATACAATTTCAAGTGAAAATAAATCATTTCGAGTACCATGTTATGCTCATAGTTTGCAATTAACTGCTAATGACGGCTTAAAAGATTTAACTGGTATTCAATCTTCATTAAAAAGAAGTTTCAAAAATAGCGAAGTCATCGCATTCTTCAACGTTAGTTTCGGAACGTTTTGAAAAGATTCAAATGTGTATTCCAAAGGCAAATAGAACCAGTTGGAACTCACAATATGAAACAATGGTGACAGTTACTGGTATTCAGCAATCTGATTTAAATGAAATTTTAATACAAACGCAGCATTACGATTTATGTCTTAAATCATTAGATTACCAAATGCTAAGTAAATTCGTATCTTTATGAGGACTTTTTACCGAAGCTACAACTACTGCTCAAGCCCAAAAAATTCCATCAATATCAATAGTAGCACCATCAATTTTAGCTATTTATCATGATCTTATACTTGAGCAGTCAAATATAAAATATGCTTCAAGTTTATGCGAATGCTTATTAGAATTATTGTTATCCGGGTTCGGTGGTCTTTTAGAAGAGATGCTTATTGACATCAATAGTACAGAAAAGAATAAAAATAAACAATTTTATGATCGTTATAAAGATCCAATTTTTTTATTAGCACCATTTTTAGATGGTCATCTTCGTTTACGATGGATATCAAGTTCACTTTTATCGAAACAAGTACAAGAAGAACTATCTCACAAAATAAAACAGCTTGTATTCGAGCAATATATTTTACTTGAATATGTTAATGGTCTTACTGCTACATCAGTTAACGATAATATCGTGGTGAGTGCACCAATACAAACACAAGCATTACTTAACGGTCCTGCATCAACTCCTACTACTCCAAAACGAAAGTGTTTGTTTGCAAACTTGGAAAACAAGGTAATAAAAAACACAACATCTGATCCTTTTAGTTATATTACAGATGAAATATCAAAATACTTCAATGATAATGATGTAGATCCTATGCTTCTTTTAAAATCATCATATATTTATCCAATATTATCCAAATTTGCTTTGAAAATTTTATCGATACCAGCAACATCGACACTTGTTGAGAGGGTCTTTAGCCAAAGTGGCTTTTTATTTCGACAACATCGAGCGTCGATGACAAGAACAACATTACAACAATTAACAATGCTGAAATGTAGCCGTGATCTTTTTTGAATATTCATGTCAGAACTTTATTTTTGTAAAACTTCATTATTTTCTTCATTAAATTTTTTAAGTATTTTTTTGTTATCCATCACTTTCTTTATTTATTAAGTGATTCAAGAATTTTTTATTTTGTTAGATTGTGACGTGAAGAGAAAGACTTTTTTATATGATGAAAAGGAATAAAACTCTATTTAGCTCTTTCAATAAAGAAAAATAAGATGAAATGAATCAATCCAATTTAGTAATAGAATTGAGTTGAACCGAATTGACAAATATTTTATAGCATCTGTGAGTTGAATTGAATTGAGTTGAAAGTTTTCTCAATGAATTGAATTGAATTTATCACTGTTTTGACGTGAGTTGCCCAGCTCTGTGGTAAAATGAAAGCGCCTTCTGATACTGTTTCATTTTGGTATTAACCATGCCAAGATTGTAGTAGATATTTGCCACTTCATGGTAATTTGGAGAGTCCTCGGATAGATAAATGTCAAGTGCTTTTTCATAGTATAATCGTTCCTTTGAGTAGTTTTCCATTTTGTCATGACGTATGCCGATGTCTGCGAAGGTGCTTGCCAACTTTGGATGGTTAGAAGAAATGGATGTGAAGATTGAAGCCGCCTTTTCAAAGTTTAAAACTGCTTCCTCGCACTTATCCATTTCTCCATACACCAAGCCGAAATTTCTGTAGCACGAAGCCAAATGAGACTGATGCGGACAGCTCTGAAGTGTGTCCAGTGCCTTTTGAAGATACAAACAAGCTTTTGAAGACTTTACCATATAGCCATACACAGATCCGATGTGACTGTAAGAGTTCGTCACATGTCTGTGATGTGGCGTGCGGGTTTTTTCATTCATATCTAGTGCTTTAATATAGAACTCAAGCACTTCTTCGTATTGCTCCGTTTTCAAATAGATAGAACCAATATTGGTGTAGCAGCTGGCCAATTCACGAGAAATAGTAAGGGTGTGGGTGTGGGTGTGGGTGTGAAAGTGGGATCGAAGAAAGATATACGCATACCCATTCTTAATTACATTTTAACAACCAGTATCAATAAACAAAACTATATTAATCGATAATAAATGCGGAAACCTCGGATTTAAATCCGAGAGTTATGTGTACTTCAAAAAGTGAATGAGACAGATGAGTCATCCTAGAATGTGTGGACATCAAAATTATTCTGGCAAACCTTTTCTATAAACCCTTGAATTCCATTGCCTACTGTTCAACCGTAGGACTTAGGAGCGTATACAGCTCAAATTTCACCTGTTCGGCTTTATTTAGCCTCAGAAAGTTGTTTTTCCTATAACATGATTTCTATTGGTCAATACTCAACCAATGGGGCTTCGAACCAAGTTTAGTGCAGATTCTAGTTCTCCGCCCCAGAAAACCTTCGATTATCNGTCGGAATTATGGTCACGTAGATGCGCACCTAGCAGATCAATATCATTCCTTATTGTAATAAAATAAACATTTTTCTATGTACATATGAGGGGGGTCTATAATTATGACAACCCCTGTATTTGAATATCCACTAGGTGGAATACACTTGATTAGAAATAAGGACGACGTACAATAATGAAAGAAAACGAATGAATTTTCATATAGCTGAGTGGCTAAGAGCGTTTATAATGCGACGCGGATTCGATTCCAGTGCGAATCGTTTCTTTTTTTTCTGTTCTCTTTGCTTTTTTGCACTGATTATTTTAGAAAAAATTTTTTACTTGGGTGCAGAGGTACCCTCTCAAAATTTCGATGGGAACGGGAGTAATTGACCACGCTGATTACGAATATGCTATTTGTTTGTTCCGGAAACTCTTTCTGCAAAGCTCCTCCACGGTGATATGTTTGTTTCTTTTATCTATAAGAGAAAAAAGAGTCAGTCATGTTATATATCATTCGTTTCTTTTTTCATTATGTTGATAAAATTCTTATCAACTTATCATAGAAAAGTAATAATAAACATGACAATTTAAAACTTAGATCAATCAAACATCAAAGCTCTATGCAATGACATACCCATGTCACGAGAGCCGCTAGAAAACCGGCGGTTCACCCTTCGGTCAACTGTGAAACTAGTGTTTTGGCCAACCGCAGTTCTTCTACTTAACCTTTTTTATATCTGCCTGGATGAGTTTTTTTAAATTCTAAAAAAAATGTTAGATGTTAGTCGACAGCCCCATTTGCATAGTATGGTGAGCGCGCTTAAGTCCCGCCTGTACCAGTTACATCGATTATTTTCAATTAATTTTTGAGTTTGATTATTAATTCGAGAGGATATCAGGCAAATAGTCATTAGTTAGAAGACTTAACTAATAGCAAAAAGATAAATTCTACAGGATATACACCAGAGATAGGTACGGTTCGGTTCTCGACTTATCTCATTTAAGTTTGGTTCTTAGTAAAATTTATTTAGTCTATATAACAGTAAAGATATGTTGAGTAAGAACAATAAAAAATATCTTCAATAGCAATGGAAGTATGTATACAATTATCTTTCTGCGTTCTTATCATTTTTAAGAAAAGAATATCGAAAATAATCTAAATATAAGTATTTTTATTTCAGAAATTGAAGATTACATAACCTTAATTGTGTATAGTAAAATGAAAACTCCTGTAAAGAGAGGCTTACAATCTAATTAAAATAGATTTTCCAAAAAGAAACAAAACTGAAAATCGAGTAACGGTACCAAATCTCGATTCAATTTGACTTAAAAACTGATTCTAATTGATTTTTCTCAGTGAAAATCAATTAGAATTGACGTTTTCAGCGAAAATTTAAATGCTCAATTAATCTTGTTGCCAACGAATTTTAACCGATTTTAATGAATTATTCTTATTTTAAGTCGGCTAAATCATGAAACGTTTAGTCTCAACTGAAACAGTGTAGATATCAGTTCCAAGTTTATTACGTTTGTCGAGCTGAAACTCAGTGACAGCCTTAAACTTATTAAACATGGAAACCTAAAAAAAATCGTGAAAATTAGAATTTCCACTTTGAATATCGAGAAAAACGTTTATCTTCGATGTAGATGATTGAAATCGATGAGCAACGAAAAATAGATTAAAATCGATTATTCACTAACATAAGAATCTATTAGAATCCGACAACAAGTAAAAAGCGATAAAAATCTATTAAGCAATCGATTTTTCTCTGATTAAAAATCGATTGAAATTTGATTTCTCCAGTCTTTTTTGGGGTGTGGGTGTCATATTTTCTTCAGCCACACCCACACCCCACCCCCACTCGCACCCACACCCATATCCACACACCCACCCGCACTCATACCCACACCCATATTCACACATCCACCCACATCCAATACCATCTTGTTTTAACATACACGGAATAGAGTAGCTGAAGATAAACTTCAGAGGAAAATAATGATTTTCTATTCGCTAACAATTTTCATTTGGCTGTTCAATGATGAATTGCAAATTATCAGCCATTCCCATGACGAATTTTGTCTCATGAAACTCTTTTTGCTTGAATCTAACATAGAAATGAATAGATGTTGTTCCCTGGGGAATTTTTCCATCGATCGATTTCTTGATCATTGATGTTTTGTTCTTGCGCGCGCTGTTAGTTACTGGATCTATCAGGTACCGAAAATAATATCTCTGGTAGATAGCACATTCAAAAAAAATGTAAATGTGGAACTTACCAATACGAACATTACCGATATAAGAGCTATCTTTTTCGAACTGAACATCGATATACGCTGTATCTTCGATGTCATCGATGCCACCTAAATCTGCACGAACAATGAATTTTGTTTGATAGACATCAAATAATCGTGTCAAATGAGAAACATTTATAATTTGTTCAATAGCATTGTCAAATAAGGATGTGTAGCGTTTTCCACCAAAAAAAAAAACACTGACCACCTTGATTATCACCGACAACTTCGCTTCCGGTCATATTGTAAAGCCATCGGAGGACACCTCGATGCTCCCATCCTGGTATCTTCGATGGATTAAGATGGTGTCCATTACATTCTTCTTCAGCATCACCATTCTGTAACAAATTCATTCCGAATTGAAATGATGACATGAATGAGCCATTGGGTAAAATTGAATCGATTACAAATACTTGATCCTGATAAGAAATCAAGTCAACATTTGATTTGTACATATTCACACGATTGAATTTAGCTGATTTTTGAATAGTTACGTTGAAAATATCACATCGTTCCATATTGATATTATCCAAAAGGATGTTTCTCAATAACAGGTGATGAAACAGTGTGCCACTCAAGTCAGACTGATGATTGATGATGGTACTATAACGGACTGAGGTTGACCGAACGCCTTGAAAAGACGAGTTTCTTATTCGAACATTTGAAATGAGCAATCGATCGGAAAAACTAACGTTCACAAAATTTGTTCGATCAAAAATGGAATTTTTTATTTGAAAATCTGGAAATCGTGTATGAATGAATGTTGAACCACCAAAATCACAATTGTACCATGCTTCATTTCCTGTCGAAATTCGGCTTCCAATGAACATTACATTTCGAAACATGCCTCTGTAAATTTGTTTCGTTTGGAATTGAACATCGATGAAATTCGAACGATAAACAATGGCATCGTTGAAATTTACATCAATAAGAATAACGTTTGTGAAAATTGTCCCTGTCATATCACAATTTTCGAAGGTTGAATCAGTTAAATTCACATTTTCAAATGATGAATTTCGCAAACGAGTACGTGATACACGGAGTCCATTTAGATTCATCATGCTCATTGAATCACGTTCGTCCGAACGACCGAATTTACAGTTGGATAAATCGACACCCTCTAAATCGACAGAGCGATAGTTCGCTTTCCCAACATACTCGTTACTGTATAACAACCGGCTCTCATACAATAATTGGATGAGATATGTTTTTCGTTTTGGATCCATCTGTTCCGCTGCAGTTAATGTTCTTGCTCTTAAAAATATCAAATCAGATTCTGTTAAGTCTTCATTCGAAATTCGAAGAGTCTCTTGAGTGTCTGACAAAAATTTGTCATAAATTTGTTGGATGCGTAGTTCAATGGCATGTGCATCATCACGTCGTCGTTCCATGTCGAGGTTCAATTTATCATCCACACGACGTTGATATTCAGCATCACGAGCTAATTGAGAATTTTTCGAATCATGTAGTGTTTGTATGACTGTAAATGCACCAATTATTAACGGAACGAGTATGACCGAAATAAGTTTGAGAAGTTGAATAACTAGAAAACATTTTGTCCGAGGTTTTCGATTGATAATCCATTTTTCGACAGGGATTGATACATATCTGTCACTCGGCTTTTGTAGTTCATTCAGCGTTTTAAAATGTTGCATGGAGTCTGATGATGATCGAAATCTCATTTTGTCATAAGTTTTGGATACTAAAAGAATATGTCATCGTTACATCACGAAGTTTTCCTTGCATTGTTGTCGGATACACGAAGCTCATACTTCAGTATTATCAAAGTCAGTTGGCAGAGCCAAAAAACAAGCGACTTGAAAGCTTTAGAAGCCAGCAGTGACAAAAACATTCATCAAAAATGAATAAAACTATTATGAGAAAACGAGAAACTCCCATATTCTAGAATAAAAACTTCTACTATATATGTTTAAATCTCCGAAATCGGGTAGGCTGTACGTATGGCTGAGAATAAGGATGAAGATTAGAAATGGCAGTAAAGCCCATTGAATCCGGGTCTAAAAATTGTTGGATTCAATGGGCTCTAAGTGGCAGTGAGCGAGAAAAATCTTCTTGGGCACGATCAAAATCTACAGCAGGATTTTTTGTATGTTTCATAAAAATTTCACTTATAAAAGGCTTTGCACCGCTCTGGCAAGAGATCCTGTACGACACTGATCTCCTTTAACATGATACCAGAATTGGTACCGTCTTATTGCGAATAAAGGGAATATAGAAAAAATTCTTGAGAATGAAGAAGAAAAAGGTATTTTGTAAGAAGAAGAACATATTGAAATACCGTGATCATTCTGAATGATCGTTATAAACTATTATTTTTTCCATTTATGTGCATAGGCTGTTTCAGAGCTATAATCTGGACAAACATAAGGGTCATGATTGATTGATACCTAAAAAGTTGGCAGGTGTCACCATGTTGTAATTCAACTGTCTACATCAAGAATTAGCTTGAACAACAAAATTATTGAATCAATACCAATAAAAAAAGGTCAACACACATATATTGTTTCCATTACCATGTTTGCCAAATATGTTGTTCTGTTTGGAGAAGTATTCTGATAAGGGTACTTGAATTGAATGGCTGCAACATATAAAATTTTTATGATTAAATGAATCATATCTAAGCAGTCCTCCTGTGCTTGCTATCATCATATTCTTAGAAAAAAAGTGCATTGATCATTAACACATATCGATAGCACTCACTCAAGATCATCTTCAGTGTCGTTGGTTATCATAATATAAATCTTCAACTGTCGTTTCTAGTTAGCAGAATATGAAGAACTGCCAAGAGTCCTTGCGTTCCCAGATATTTACGTTTATAATTATGATCGTTACCAGAATATCACATGACGTCTTCGGAATTTCCAACAATCATCTGACATAACCAAGGAATAAATTATATTGATGCGTCTGAGCAGTGTTGCCCATCGTTCAATGACCAAGCCAAGCTTATAAAGCGATTGTACATGACCACGGTGCTCAAGAGACATGTTGTTTTTATTCATGATCAAGTTCTTTTTTTCAATAATTATTGTGCTCGCTTGTATTTAATCGACTTAATCGTATATTCAGAGCACAAATTATTTCGAATCATCAGGGAGTAGTTAATCAGTATAGTCTTTTGAGTCGTGAGAAGCTTCTCTAATTTATTCTCTACAATTTATCCGATGCAATCGTATTATCAGGATAGTTTATCAATAATCAATATGAATAGTCTTGAAATAGTTTAAAAGTCTATTCTTCGCTTTCTCTATTTAATACAATAATCTGAATCAATTTGGATAGAATAAATTTCCATAGGATGCATTATATAAGTTTCCAGGAAAGTTCATGGACTTTCCTCAGAACAGAATTTCCAGAAAGTCACATTGGATTTCCGGAAATTATAGTTGACTTTCCCAAACCAAAAGGATTTCCGAAAATGAAAAACAATTTCTACATGGGAACGGATTTCCGGACACGCAAATTGACTGTTCGAAAATCGAAAACGATTTCCACAGGAGAATGCATTCATATGAGACATTATATTACTTTTCAGGAAACTCAATAGGTTTCTGGACACTAAATCAATTTCCAAAAACTACATTCCGTTTCCCTATTGGACATACTAGGCACAAAGACCATAATGGACATAATCGACATCATGGACGTTGAGTGCCGCGGAGGGAGTCACACCACATCTCTCTTGGTTCACCTTTTAAACAATACGCCCATCAGACGCACTACGGCCATTATGCCCGGCTTCCAGTCAAATTAAAAAAAAGGAGTTTCCTGGAAACTAATAGAACGCCAGGAAACTCCTATTTTTTGAACTTGGCTGGGAGCCGGGCATAATGGTCGTAGTGCGCCGGATGGGCGTATTGTTCAAAAGGTGAACCAAGAGCGATGAACTGTGACTCCCTCCGCCGCACTCAATGTCCATGATGCCCACTAGGGAAACGGAATGTAGTTTACAGAAATTGATTTAGCGTCCAAAAACCTATTGAGTTTCCTGAAAAGTAATATAATGCATCATATGAATGCATTTTCCTGTGGAAATCGTTTTCGATTTTCGGAAAGTCAATTTGCGTGTCCGAAAATCCGTTCCCATGTTGAAATTGTTTTTCATTTCCGGAAATTCAATTTGACTTTTCGGAAATTCTGTTCTGAGGAAAGTCGATGGACTTTCCTGGAAACTTATATAACGCATCATATGGTTCCATTCTGATAAATTATAACAAATTGAAGCAAGTAACAAAATTAACTATCGACAAGAAAAACTTCATAGGTCTACTAGAAATAAACATAATAGTATTGTTTATCATCAATTCGAAAAACTTTTACGTTGTGATCTCTTAAAGAAAATAAGATCGTGCATATGATTTTCAACAAAACCATAAAATTTGGAGTTTATTTACTTTTTTAATTATAGATTGGTAGTATTCAATAGCGTAGATCAGATGTTTTAGAATAGAAGAATATCTAAATGTATTGCTGTTTGTCTTCGGATGCAAGGAGTTATACTTATCTATGAGAGATCTAATGATTTGACAAACAAAAACTCGTATTCATTGAATTATTTCTCTTCTTAGATTTTATCATTACTCTTTTAAAAATTAGAACTAACAAACACAGAAACCAAATATGTTCTACAATGATTATTTGTCTACGCCACTAAGCCTTGAAAACAATACATTTATTCGAATGAGAATCGATTGATCTGATGATTAGAAAAAGATGTGGATCATATTTCCCATTTTTCTTCTGTCTTATTAGTTCGATTTTTTTTAATAAAGAAAACATTACTTAGGTATTACATTTCTTTTTTTCCTTTCTGTCTGTTCACGTACAGTAGAGTGCAAAATAATTGCCATTTGATATAGAAATTTTGTCGGGACCTGTTTCTTAATTCTATGAAGCGATAGCCTTAAGACTGTCTCTGAACAATAGTCAGTAGTTCTGTGCATTTATCAAGATTGACATATGCTCACAGGTGTTGTTGAGTTTTATAAAAGTGGCGCATTATTCCAATACAAATTATCTGTCAATAGAACGATCAATCATCTTAGACCACTGAAGAAATGATTCTTATAATGTTATGCGAAAGAGTGTGAGTGTGGGTGTGGGTGTGTGGGTATGGGTGTCATATTTTCTTCAGCCACACCCATACACCCACACCCACACCCTATATCGTTTTTTGAATATGACATAGATAATAGATCAAAAGAGGCAAAAGCCAATTGATATTGTTGATAATACTTGAAAGATTAATTAACGATAATAATGATGAAAAGAATAATATAAAGCTCAAAATTAGAAAACTATATATGTACATTTGAGTATTTATATATATGCATAAAGAGATTAAGAATATATATTAGCAGCATATCTGTTTCTATCGAATGTGTTTGTGAACAATCTAAATTGTTTGTCAGTTCACTTTCATTTTTAACCTTGTCTTGCTAAATAACTTTGGAAAGAGGTCGACAACATCTGGAGCATAATATTAGTTACAGGTTGACAAGTTACAATATTCGTACCCTGAAACCTGTCTTGTTCTGCCCTGCTGTTGCTGTAACCTGCAGCTCTCTACTCACATCATTCTATTGATTCGCTTTTTCCAATATACACAAAACTACAATCTATATTATTTGTAAAATGATTCTTAAAGCAAATCAGTCATTGTTTTCTTTTTTATCAAAAAGAAATTTCTTTTTCTTTTCGTTTCCATCTTCTTGTTCAAATTAGTCTGAACAAATACACTAAATCAATAGCAATTAGTCAATGACGAGTATAGAAGTTATCGTTAAAAAGAAAACCACATCCCTCGATAATCGGAATGGTTATTCATTTCTACTGCACTTTTTTTTTCCAAGAAGTTCATTCATTCTATACGTTGATGACAGTCATGATAATGAGCATAAATATTCAATTTGTATATTCGTAAGACGACAACACTGAATTTGAATCAAACATGAAACATTCCGATTTCCATCTTCTGAACCTACCGAATGAGATATTAATTCTTATATTAAAAAAACTTGATAATATTAATGTTTTGTATTCATTAATGGATGTTTTCAATGAACAATTTGGTATTCTATTACAAGGTAGAGTTTTCACTAACAATCTAAATTTAGTTATAAGATCATCAAATGATGGTAATATTTGCTCACTTGATGATCCAATACTTGATCGATTATGCACTGATATATTACCAAGAACTTTTCATAGGGTGACACATCTTATTTGCGAACCTATGTCTATGGAACGTACTCTTCATGCTGTCAACTATCCAATTTTAACTTCTATAAAATTGTTTAATTTCTGACATGAGATCGCTGCTTCTTATTTTACAGGTAAATATCTTATATATTCGACGAAAGCAAAAGAAATTAAGATACAGTACTGACCAGCATCTTAGGACCACTTGTTTGAATATCCTGAATAGTTATTTGATTATGATAAAACAACTAACTAATATTTTCGATATTGAGCGTTGAAAAGTTGTAATAGGGAAGATATTAAGTATTCTCATATTGTCAAAATTCACACGAGTATCATGTATTTCTTGAGTTCAGATAGGAACAATAAATTCAAATATCAATCAATCCGTATCATCTTGATGAATGGACGTATATTCTGAGATTCTTCTCTAGGAAAATTGAGACAACAAGAAAATTTATTCTAGTTTTTAAAAAGAAAAACCCATTGTGGATTCGCAAGAAAGTAAACGCATAAATGATTTTGGTTTGTGAGGAACGAGGAACCCACAAGGGTTTCGGATTCCTAGGTACGGGAGTTCCATAGGAACTTTCTGCGAGAAGGCAGTATAATAGTGTGTGAAAGTCCCATTGTATTTAAAAATACATGAAAACGCTTCGTAAAATAGGTTCCCGCTCCTTGGGAACGGAACTCTAGGGAACGGAAACTCTGACAGTCCTACCTGAGGAACATGAAAAAAATCAAACTTCAAATTTTGACCTGAAACATTGCACATATTAAGATCTCAATAGGAATAGTTTATGGTAGATATTTCAGATCCTTTGGTTGTACTTTAACTGAAATATGGACATGAGAAAAATTAGGCAGATTTTATATTATCCAAAAATATTAAAAAAAATAAATCTTTCGCCATTTTTCACAGACAAGATCAAATGAACTGAAATTTTAAATTTAGAGTTTTCTCGACACGGGCTTTCGTCTGAACTGCTTTAATCGCACATTTGAGAACAAATCGTCAATCTTCATAGCCAAAATCGGGTACCAAATTCGGCCTTTTTCATCTTGTTTAAAATATTTTCTCTAGCAAAGTTCAAAATACCAAACTTTTGAAAATGTCATTCGACGCAGTTTGATGTGCTCTTTCAAATGGAACTACTCCGAAGTTGGTCTATCACGCTGATTTGATCAATTGGTCGTAGATATTGGGACCCTGCTGTCTAAACATGACATATGCTATCAAGCAATAAATATCAGACGATAAAATACTTTCAATATCATGAAAAGATAGCCCATCGTCGATAGCATCTATGGTAAAAAAATCTCTGTTATTACTTTTATCGTTGTTGAAAAAATGAAAATTTACTGGAAAGTATGGTTCTACTAGATACTCTAAAAGTGACTCACCCCTTCATACTTGTATCGTCCATATCTCCAGAACGGCTCATCTATTTGGGCTGAAATTTTTAGTTTCTTGCTAACTTTGCTAGGTCTACTTTCTTTGGAAATATCAGCCAAATCGGTGATATCGATTGAGCAACATTGGTCGTGGCTTACGTCTAATGCCTCCTAGGATGTTTTTAGGTGTCTCCCTACTCCCTAGCAACTACGAATTTCATGGGGATTTTTCAGAAAACCATCAGTAACTTCCTGGGAAGTTCTTACATTTTAGCGATTCTCTGAGGATTTATTTGTTGACCCCCTGAAGATTCACTATGGAGGGTGTGGGTGGGATATGAATGTGGTTGTGTGGATGAGTAAGTCTTTCACACCAACACCCACATCGAAGATTCACACCCATTCTCAAATAAATATTATAGGTTATATGGTTCACGACCAGCGAGTATATAAATTAGCACGATGGCTAGTAAGAAATCTATTGTAATATTAACACAATCATCAGGATTGCCAGATCAAAAACTTAAAGTTGAGAATTTTTATTTTCAAAATCAGAAAACAACCAGAATGTTTTTTTGGTGAAATCAGCAGTAATTCAGAAAAAGCGTTCTTTTGCAAATTGTTGATTGTTATGTTAATATGCTGGTAGCAAGTGCTTTACTGGTATTTTTTTAATCGACCTATACTTTATATTCATAGGTATGCTGCTGTAGGAAAACACAATGTGATAAATATATTGTTTAGTTAGTACAAAAGCACACAACACACTTAATGTCGAACTCGTCCACTAGACTCGAATTTTATTCACAAAAAATATACAAAAACAAACTAAATATGTATCATGTAGATTAAGAAATTCTACGAAAGAAAAATAAGTTATATAATATCGATTGAATATTATAGCTCGTATTTTCGATTTTGCTTTAATAAGTGTGTTTCAGTTAAAATATGTATAGAAAATTGTTCGCAAGAATAATTACTACTCCTTCTTATTGTCAATTGAACACCATTATTGTAACGAATTATAATCATATTTTTCCTCACTAAGAAAATTACGATCTAAAGATTTCAAAATTCGGAAGAAAACAGAAAAATCCAGCAGAAAGTACAGAACATCAGGAAGTAGTCAGAAAAATTTTCAAAACTCAGAAACTTTCCCCTGTTTTCAGAAGATCTGGCAACCCTGATAATCACACTCAATTCATTGAGCTATGCATAAATATATACAATACCTTTCCATTTTACTATCGAAAGATGGCCAAAGATTTCAAATTATTATTTTTCTTTTATCTAATTTAACAAAAGAAACTATATTTGAATTGAGATATCCCGTGTCTTCCAGAGATTATTGATGGTAGTCGGTTGTTTAAATTTTACTGTGCTTCAATTCTTGTCATAAATACTACTCGTATTGTTTTTATATAAGATATGAATAAATAAATAGTAATGCGTTATATAAAAATATGTTAATGTAATTAATAATATATGATCAATTCAATCAAATTAAATTCTTTAATCCATTTCTTTCGATATGATGTTGAATTCGAATCTCAATCTTAATGCTATTGATCACTATCATTTATGGTCACCCAAAAAAAACCGATATATTCAAACTAGTTAAACAAAAATCTACAAACTATATTTTATTGATTTGTAACAATAAGCATAACAGACTATATAAATCGATAATTTCACAAGTGGTGAATGTTTGTACGTAGTTAAAATAAGAACTATTTGAAGAATCGAAATCAATATTAGCTTCATAGACATGTACTTAAAAAGATATCAACTGTCTTATGATTACAATGCACAAAGATAAAATCCAGTTGATTATCTCCATTAAAATTTCCAACCTTTACTTCAACTGGACTAGAACCAATACTAGTCGAATAAATTTTTTTATTTCTAAATTTTCCTTTACTATATCCGAATCATATATCTACATTATCTGTATTAGAATTAGGAACGATAAAATCTTGTATATTATCTCTATTAAAATCATCAATAGCAATGGCATAAGATAAATATCCACTACCAGTAGAAAAATTGTCTTGTTGCCTGAAAGTTTTCTCATTATTTCCAATAAGTAGACTTGTATTGTTTCCATAATAATTAGCTGTTTCAATGTCTAATATACTATCTCTATTAAAATCAGCCGCCATGAGTGCCTATGAATCAGTTTCAATATATTATGTTATCTGTCCTGAAAACTTCCTTTTCTACAAGCAAAAGTATCAGTATCGGCTGCATGCTACTAAATAAGGAGAATGATATTATTTAGCATTCAAAACTCTTTGTTTCAAGTCTACTATCAGTCATTCGAGGAATTTCTACATTAATAAGTTACTGAACATATGAAGATCAATAAAAAAAAACAGAATAATCTAATTTGATTTTACATGACTTAATCTTATATTTAAACCTAGAATTTACAAATTCCAGAGACTTTGGCAGATATATTATTGGAGTATTTTCTTGTTTTTAGCCGTAAGCTCGAAGCACGACTTATATATCATATAGAATGTGATTCTTCCATCGATGATTTGACCTAAAAAAAAGGAAGCAAACATTGCCTTGATTGATATTCTCGAATATTTATCAATCGTGACAAATACTGTCACGTGGCGCCATTCCTTTCATCGAAGTATTCAAATAACAATCAACATAAAATATACTAATAATCGAAGTAAAAATCAATAAAAACTTCTAATATCTTAACTAGAAAAAATCTTTTCTTTATTTTTTGAAAAATTTCCCAAAAAAATCTAATACAAAATTTTGATTGGTCGTTAGATTCTCCCCAAAAAACGGTACTGATCTAAAATAAAAATTTATCTTATTCGTTTTGATATCAATTGAGAATATTTTAATCAATAATTTGTCGTCAAAAAAATGGCGACATCAATGCAAAATGATCATCGAACATCGGTGAAACAAAAGTCAGTTGTTCCAAGTTATGGTCCTGGAAATTCTTTATATTCTACAACTGAATCCTTAACTGCACAAGATATAGAAAATTATTTTCGTGTTGTTTCAACTCGACCGAATTCGACAACAAATTCGATTGCTAATTCAACATCAAATACAAATGAACGTAAAACTGTGCAATATCTTCGTCCAACATCATTTGAACAACAACAAAAAGAAGTTCAACAATTAAATAAAAATAAAATTGATATTATTCCATATGCAACATTTCATGAAAAGTAAGTTGTTATTTTCTTAATCGAAAATAAAAAAAAATAATTTAAAATTTTGCTTTATCAAGAAAACAATTATTATCAATTGATCAAAAAGCTTATGCTCGTGATTTTCAACAAAGATATGACAATGAATTTTTACAAGTAAGAAACAAAAATTCTTCATAAGATTTATGATTTCATTTTATCAATATAAGTCGATTACAAGAATTTACATATATCAAACATCATTTTCAGAGTTTTAACAATTTTAATGAAATCTTTGATTCATATTCCGTAGAATATCTTGAAAATTTCATCGAAACAAATTTTTTTCGATTAATTTCCTTGGTAAAGAACACTGTTGGTCCCATTCCTCTAGACTAATATTGTCAAGTTTCGAATCACAATGGAGCGTTTATTGTGAAGAGAAGAAGGATTAAAAAGCTGATGAGAGAACCTCTTCAAGTGCCAAATCGTTTCTCAACCGAGATGATATTCATTTGATGAATGTTAGAAAGCAATTTGAACGATTACGTCTATATCTTTTTGAAATAAATATGTTGTTTTTTTCAGCGCTGGAATAAAGGTGTTTTGGGTGATAATGATGATGAAACAACAATTAGTAGTTCAACAAGTCAACAATTTGGAAGTACAACAGTTAGTTCATCAATAAATAATCGTTTATCTCGATTAAATATAAATCGTGATCAAGATCAAGAACATATGTCTGATATTGAAGGACGAACAGATCCTGATGGTGCACAAAGTGAAGCTGATAAAGAAGAAATTCGACAAATATTTGGTATATCACATGCATTGGAAACATTTGATGATTATAAAGAAATAAAACAATGGATTAATCAAGATACAACATTACCTGTGTATGCACAAAAAGATAAA